GGAGGTCACTGCATGCCGTGTTGTCGCTGTGAGTTTGACGAGCGTGAACCACGCGGGAGAATGCGTCGCAAAGCTCACCGTCGAGGGAGGGTTCTTGTATGACGAGCTGGGGGTTTACGGCGGTGCGCTGTTGTCGCTGTGAGTTTGACGAGCGTGAACCGCGCGGGAGAATGCGTCGCAAAGCTCACCGTGAGGGAGGGTTCTTGTATGACGAGCTGGGGGTTTGGGGCGGTGCGCTGTTGTCGCTGTGAATTTGACGAGCGTGAACCACGCGGTGAGATGGGTCGTAGAGCTAACAGTCGAAGGGTTCTTGTATGACGAGCTAGGTGCGTATCACGAGCTGTACGTTGTAGCCGCCTGCCGTTACTGTATACCGTATGACGGAAGGTTCGCACTTGAGTATGATCTTAACTCGACTTAGTACGTATGTATGATCCAGGTGTTTGCTGGCAAGCTGCTGCATGTCATTGTGATGCCCCAATTATGATCTCCTCAATCGTGGGGTTCCTTATGTATCTTGTCGAGACGACATTTGCCAGTCCAGTCAAACGCAACTAGTCACTACGGCTGTTTATTGAAGAGTCTATCCCAAATCAACAACAAGTTTCGCAATATCATGCGATGAGCAACAGTATGCGCCTCATACCTCTTGTGTACGTATCGCTCAGGATTGCTGATCTTAAGTAGTCTCATCCACGTTGATTTCCAGTTCAAGGTCTCGAATACGAACTCCACTGCCCTTGAGCACAACATGCCCACGGCGCAATCTGGACGTGAATTCTTCTGCGGGGCTGAGCGCATCAGATAGCCGGAGCTGATTCATGTTGCGATGTAATAGGCGCTCAGGGCTACTTTCAAAGACCGGGCCTTCCATATATCACCTAAGATGCCCGAAGATACATATCGCGCCTTGACCCTTGTCTGCATACCTCCAGAACTGCCCCCGCTGACAGCCGCGTTGGCTGGCCATGCAGCAGACTACGTGTGAGCTGCAGCATAGTGTGCGATGTCGTCTGATACTGACTACACCACAGTGCCCGTACTTACAATGTCGCCGACTCCTTCACCAGATATTGGCGAGAAGTCCACTGATAACTCCGGCGTGACCGCGCCGTTCCATGCGTCAACGCCGGGCACCAAGTTGCAAAACTACCCTGCGTCGCTCTTCGTGTTCGTATTCTGGCTTGGCTACATCGCAGCCATGATTTGGCTGCTCAACGATGTGGCCCGGAGATCCGCTACATCTGCGGAAGACTCTCTATTCGAAAAGAAGGACATTCTTGCTCAGATCATGAGCGTCTTCTTCGCTCAGGCGCACGTCCCCATCACCGCCATGCACCTTGGTCGTTTGGCCATTTCATCTCTTCAGAATCCGGACACCGCACCTCACACGTGGACCGAGCTGTTCTGGCTCGCGGATCGCAGCTGGCAGGGTCCCATAGCCATAGGGGGAACATACTTCACGATGGCCAAACGTCATATGCGCCCTTCCGCGACATTCTTCCTCTTCTCCTTAGCCTGCCTCAGTGCGGCTGTCACACCCATCCTCATTTCCCGGGCATGGCCGACGCAAGCAGTCCTAACATCTATTCCTCGTGGGATTTGGTCGAACACGTTCTCGCCAGCCCTCATCAACAATGTCGATAGCGCCGCCCAAATGGGAACTGGACAAGGAGCGTGGACATCAGGGTTGTCGGTCTTGAAAGTCTACAATGCTACCACGTTTCTGGCTGAAATCCCGGATCCAGTGTCGAAATCTCAGTCCCCCTCCGAATTTGTGTTTGCAGGTGATGTTGTCGGCTACGACGTAGTTGACATGCCAGCCATATACGTCAATGGCAGCTGCCGCGAGGTGTATGCTCCGGCCCTTGTGGATGATTCGGACCAGACCTTGAAAGATTGGTGCACTCATAAAGGATGGGGCAAGTACTTCTCGTCGACGACACTCTGGTCTTCTACGGGCGTCAGGTTGACGATCCGTTGGTGCAGCGATTACTACGCCAACTCAACGGTGAACTTGGAGTGGATCAACGAAGCACCCTTCTCTTCTGCCAGTATCATCGTTCGTATGAACGGCACAGACACGAAAACAGCCCTCGACGGCTTCATACAATGCGACTCGACATTTGCCACCGGTCGCACCGATGTCCACGGGCTGCGACAATCCTTCACGAACTTCCGACAGCACGCTTTCTTCAATACGACCACCCCCCACAAAGGCATCCCCTATCATCCGCTATACGCTGCTTTGTTCTCCATTACAGAAACGTTTGGCGGTAGCACAGAACTTGGATCGGACGACACGAATGTAGACGCTGATGCAGAGCGGGTCGACTCAATTTTGCGCATGCTTGGGTACGAAGCTAGATACGACCCCGTCACCGGGGACATTCTATACAACCAATCCAGCATCGCGCACATAGCGGAACATCTGTGGGCTGGTGCTACCCATATGGGTGCTGCCATTGGCTTGCTCTCCAGAGACACTCTTTTGTTCAACAAAGCCATCGAACATCCAATCGTTTCTGGGAGGATAAGGGACAACACATTCGCCGCCCTAGCCGCAGCCGTGCTCGGCATTTGGCTGACGTCGCTCACCTACTGCACGCTCCGGATGTACCGACCGACCTTTGGTGGAAGCTTGAATGCTTATTCTGCCGCCCGCCTCCTTGCAGATTGCCCACATCTCGTGGAAGGTCACTGTTGTGGAGACCTGGACGACAACCACAAGCTACATGCGTCATTTGGTCACGTCGCCGATATCATGCCCGATGAAGCTGTCGGTCATGTTGGTGTCGCGAAGGGAAACATCTCAGGTCGTTTAGTGTCACAGAGGCTCTATCGGGGCTCTCAGCGAGTTTTGCCAGCATAGTTGAGTAGCAAATGCCGTACGTACTGGCTGGAGTAATGGTGGCTACTGGCAGCGATGAGTAGGGCGACGTATCGGTTTGACGATTGGCGATTTCACATCATTTGTGGATGGACTTTCCTATGGTTTTAGGCTCTATGCTGTAACTTCGATACAGAGGAACCTAATATGGGTCTTCTTGAACATAATAGTTGATGCCTGTCAGTCTCAGTGTTGCGCCGTCCCCGATCCATGAAGATTCCTGCAGCCAGTTGGAGAGTCATCAGGAAAAACTGTCTTTGCTATTAAAGCGTGCTCATTTAGTATCTTTAGAGGGTTTCGGTACTCAATAAGCGGCTCTTTCGATAGTTTGATTTTTCCTGATGGAAGACCAGACACGCGGATTTCGCTCAGCACCGCGCGGGCTATGTTCAGACGCGCTTGGTCCAGGGTGCTATCACGGCGGTACGTTCATATCCGATGCATTACTGAGATTCCATGGCTCATGTACTGTCAGGGACTGTTCGATTCTTCACCGCAGCAACCGTCTTTCGACCATGAATCTGTATCGCAGTATAAGAAGCCAAAACCCGAGATCTCACTGGTCGCAGGGCCGCTCCCGCCTCGCCCTCCAGTTTCAGGGAGCGCTCGGTCCCATAGTTCACTCCGAGTTGGGTCAGGGAACGGATATCTTTATCGCTGAATCTCGCACGGACCTCATCGGACCCGCGAGTGGAGAAGCTCGGGGTCCCCAGTCCTCCCCGCCGCCATTTCTTTCCGTTGCGAACTGTGGGGCTCGCGCAGGTGGCGATTGCGGGCGTAGACCGATCGGGAGAACGAAGTGCTCGTTGTGCGTTCAAAGTTGTCAGATGAGAAAACAAATTACGAAAAAAACGCGCGCGCGCGCGCTGTGCCGTCTTTAAAACCGCCGCTTGCTTCCCGAAGTTGCGAAGCGCTGCGGATACCGTCACGGCAAACTCTAAACGGCCGGTGGATGACGCGCGGGTATGACATGATCTTCCGTTCTCTCTTTTGCCTGCTGGGTGTCGGACGACTTTTTGTCGATGCACGTTGGGGAAGAGTGAAGTGGTTGATGAAGCGCTGCAGGATGCCCTCCATAAGGTCCGAGACAGGCGATGGTTGACGCCAGGCACGAATCTGAGTACCAAATATCAAATGAGCGCGGCGACGTCATCCCGGATGATCCCTTTGTTCGATGCTGTGTCGATTTCCCCTTCGGTTTTGCACGAGCATTGGATGCGGACGGCTCGTGCAACGTACCAGAGTACGCAGCGACGGGACGTCGAGAAAGGACAGACAACAGGCAGGATCCACGGGAAGACACTTCATCAAAGACAGAACAGGCCGCATGCGGAAGGAGGAAGAAGAAGCACGCGCATGAGGATGCCGACGAGCGCAAGGCCGTTCCGCTCCGCTCCACGTTGGTGATTCGTGCAACGGATTCCCACGGTCGCATCCCTTGCATAACGCGCGCCTCCCGTGTCCTCCGGGGGTTGGAAATCTCCCATCACAGCCCGCATGCCCTTTGCGCAACCGTCGGAGCCACCGCCCAAAGGCGATACCCCATCTTCACCTACCTCCTCCACCACTCTCTCTGGTACCGTGTCTTATATCCCGGCGCTCTCTGCTTATTCTGCTGTAAATACCGCTACCGCGTCACCCGCGACACTGGGACTGTCCACCGCTGTGCAGCAAGAGTCTGTAGGGACAGCACTGCATGAGAGCAGGCCGCGCTCGCCTACCACACAAAGACACCAAAGGATCATCTTCAGAAACCCCCTCAATACGCTGAAGCTCAGAGGACACAGCGTAGACGAACGTCGTCGAACCATGACTACCGACGAGACCGTGCACAACGGCCGGACAACGACCGGTGAGTAACGCATTTCCTCGGTCTTTGGAACCTTGGGCTGTCTGCGACACTTTGTTGCCGTTTCCCTTTGATGTCCGTCACCATTCGACCCGTCTGTGCCGCGGACGTTGTCCTCGACGTTCGCCTTCCAGCTCTCTGCGACATTGTTTCCTCCTTGCCTGTTCGCCGTGCTCCCGGGGTACAGCACCGTCTTTGTGTCGCTTTGACAGCAATACCCCTTCCGTTCCGGGCCCCGATCCCGAGTCCCGACGGACACGTGGCCGGAACTTTCCCGTTCACCGGGCGATACTCGGGCATCGCATTTCCCCTTCGTATCGCACCGAATCCGTGCGCCCTGGAGGTTGGGATCCATACACGTCCATATGCGTATATGTCGTGTCCACCAATTCCCATTATCCCCGGATTTTGGTACTCCGTCCCGGTCCCTTAATCACCGCTTATTTGGAATTTGATACTTTTGATACCGCGACGAAAACGACGATTACACGGTGTCTCTGACAAACCTTTTTCTTCTATAGGTCCCGCGACTGCTTCTCGTCAGGGACCGTCGTCCTGGCGTCGGCCCTTGCTGCCGAGTCGCCAAGTCTCCTCGTACTCGAAGCGGCACGCCTCGTTCGACTCGCCGCGCGAGATTCCGCTACCATCGCCCCACCCCTCGTCTATGGTCGCAGACTTCGAGTCTGCGGTCGCACTTGAAGCCGAGCACGAGCGCGAACGCCAGGCGTTCGCGAAAGGTCTCCTCCAGTCCACGCCCGAAATCGCCATCGACGATGCCCGGCAGCTTGACACGCGCTCGCAGTGCGAGGAGAACTCGGGCTCGTCCGTGTTCGAAAGCGAAAGCTCGGAGTCGTCGACGGATCGTCAGTTCACGTTCGATTCCGACCGGCAGTCGCCGCGATCGTCGCTCAGCTCTTTGGTGGAGGCGATGGACATTGCCTCACAGGCGGCGCAGGAACACGCGCAGACCCTGAAAGGAAAGGGCAAAGAGCGCGACGAAGGACACGGCATGGACGTAGACAACGCCTCCAAGGCGTTTGACGGGGCAGACACCTCCCCATCCCGAAGTGTACCACACATCACCGAGCCACAGCCCATCTCGCCCTCTTCTCGGCCGTACTCCATGCCGGACGCAAGCCAGGACGTCTACTCCCCGCGCCCGCTTCAAGCATCGGCCGGCCTCGGCGGGTACGACCGCACGTCGACGTCGTCCCTCCCGCTGCCGTTCCACACGCCGTACAGCGCTCTCCCGAGCATACGCACCCCCGTGCAGGAGGAAAGCCATGACCCTGAACGCCCCCAGAGCCCGTTCAAGGCGGCGGAGAAGCACCCGCGCTCGGAGGTCTCCAGCCCACAACCCGGCGCGCCCTCGGGCCCATCCTCGCCCACTCGTCCCCGGGGATCCACCGCTTCCTCCCCGGCCGCCCACCACGAAGAAGAAGATTCGAACTCGGACTCGGAATGGGACCGCGAGCCGGTGGAAGAGATGCCTACGCCCTCGCTCGCGTCGCTCTACTTCCCGACCGAGACGCGCGAGCGCGAATGGGCGCGCCGGAACGGCGTCACGCTCACGCGCCAGGGTTCCACCGCGTCCGAGGGCGGGGTGCGCTATCATCCGCATAGGAGTGCACCCTCGCCTGAGGCGCAGCAGCAGCAGCAACCGCCGCCGCCGCCGCCAGATCCACCGCAGGTCCTCCCGCCTGTGCCGCCCGCGTACGATAACCCCGCAAGCCGGTTCTTGGGCGCCAGCGGGCCCGCGATTGACGCGCCTGTGACGGTCGAAACGACGCCGGCCGATTACCGGCTCATGATTCCTCTGGTGGGCTTCAACCGCGAGATGATGTGCGTTTTTGCCTCTTCTCCACCCCACTTCTCCAGAGTTCCAGAGATGAATGCTGATATGGTCTTGTGCAGGACGTTGTCGGCGCGCCGGAACCGTATTCTGCATATCCTCGCGGACTCGTGGGCGCCGGGAGGAGGTCACTTTGAGCGCCGGATCTCGTTCGGATACGACGCCGACATTCCGCGCGTCCGGGCGGAGTACGACGGCGAGCTCCTGACCGTCACCGTGCCGCGCCGCGCGCCGCCGAGGCACTACTTCGGCACGCCGGTGTACCGCGGGTGACCCCGCCCGCCCGGAGATCGTCGCTCATCACCGCCGGTAGGTGGTGATGAGACGTTCGCCGTGTTTGGATAACATCGGTGCGTCTCTTGCCTTTTCTGCTTTCGGGGCTCGTGCTGATCGTCGCGGATCGTCCAGTTACCATAATATCGCATTGCACCATGTTGGATGATGCCCCTTAATCTTCTCTAGATACATCACGTCGACCGTCAATAAGCCGGTTCCTCTCGGCCTGCATATTCCAAGAAAAGAAAACCGTCGAATTAATGAATCGCCTCCCTCATGCCCTTCTTTCCCCAACCAAGCCTTTCGCATGCCTATCTATCTCATCCTCATCCTATCCATCTCGCAACCCAGTGTACATAGCACCCCCTCACGCGTACCACACGATCTCATACCCGGTATATTCCCGCTTGCTGCATAACTCGCCGTTTCGGCGTTTGCTGTCGATGCCTGTTCCGCGATGCTGTGTCCTCCCTTGTTCAGAACCCTTGCTGTGGAACTGCTTCTCCTGCGCGAGGTCTCTCGCTCCGTGTGGTGTATTTTAGTACTGGTTATCGGCCCCATCATCGGTCGGATTTTATTCTGCAACACGCACAACTGTACGATACATTGCTGTAATCAGACGTGCATATACCATCGTTTCGGACGTGCCGGTGTCCATACTTTGAGGCTCATTGTGCATCTGAATCTGAGCCTTCAAAGAACCATCACAACCTCCTGCTGCTCTGATACGATGGTCGCAGAAGCGAGGAGAGTGGACCGTCTTATACCACCTTGTGGGTCAGGATCGCTGACTGAGCATATGCTCAGTCATACTAGCAAGCGCACGAGAATGTAGTAGTACATAATGTGGGGACCACATTCGCCAGCCCTTGGACTCGATAACCTTTGGCATCCGTACATCAAGCTATCGACTCAGGCAGAAGAAATGATATCCACAGTGGCGGTGGCAGGCGTAAGTGCCATGGTACATCTGTGAGGGACTCAGGCGCTTAACCACCGCACAGGCGACAGGCAACATCGGCATTCCGATCGTCGAACAACTGCTCGCTGCCAACTTCAGCGTCGTCGTTCTCTCGCGATCCGATAACCCTTCCAATCTCCCCGCAGGCGTCACCGTCCGCAAAGTCGACTACGACTCCGTGCCGTCACTGACCGCCGCGCTCCGCGGGGTCGACGCGGTCGTCTCGGCCGTGAGCGACGCCGCGCTGGCGGGCCAGACGAAGCTCATCGACGCCGCCGTCGCGGCCGGCGTCCGCCGCTTCCTCCCGTCCGAATTCGGAAACGACGTGCAGCACCCGGCCGTGCGCGCGCTGCCGCTCTACGCGCCCAAAATCGCGGTGGAGGCGCACCTGAAGAAGGCCAGCGCCGAGTCGGGGCTGACGTACACCCTCGTCAGCACGGGTCCGTTCTTGGACTGGGGTCTGCAATCTGGTTTCTTGCTAGGCCCGCTGAAGGAGCGCCAGGCCGAGATCTTTGACGGCGGGAAGAAGCTGTTCAGTGCGACGAACGTCGCGACGATCGGAAGGGGCGTCGTCGCCGTGCTTCGTCACCTGGAGCAGACGAAGAATCGGACGGTATATTTCCACGAGGCAGCCGTCAGCCAGGCGAAGCTTCTCCGAATTGCGAAAGAGCTGACACCGGGGGAGGAGTGGACGGTGACGGAGAGGAAGGTGTCTGATCTGAAAGCCGAGGCGGACGCGAAGATGGCGAAGGGGATATTCGACGCGGGATTGGCGGTAGCGCTCATCAGGTACTCGCTATATGGCGAAGGTTTCGACCCGGTGCTGAAGAATCTAGATAACGAGCTGCTCGGTGTTGATTTGTTGTCCGACGAGGAGCTGAGGGCTGTCGTGAAGTCAGCGCTATAGCAATGTTGCATGAACATGTATGGTAACAGTGATAGAGGGACATGATGGTTACTCATGAAGACAGTTCACCCTAGTTTCGTCAGCATTGGGCTCGGACGCAAATTGTGCAGACGTCGCTTTCTCGACGTACCAGAAAGGCACAGGTGAACTCTCACAGTACTCGCCGGGGAAAGCATGTTACGACGGAAGAAAGAGAGTATTTGAGGCCTGTGATAGATCGCTCAACCGTCCGTGTGAGACACGACAAACCTGGATCTACATCGAGGATGCTATGATGCTTGCAACTCTCGCGATGCCAGATTACCTGTTGCTGCTCTGTACTCGAGTTGCAGTGAGTACTCGAGTGTAAAGCCGTATGAAGAGTAATCGTCTTGAGCTGATCAGAGCTACGTGCACAATGAAGCGAAATAACGGATGCTTTCCCACGACTAGCCTTCTTGGCTAGCAAGCAGGTCTGGTAGTGTCTAGACTCCCCAAACAGGATGTCCTCGTTTCTCTCGCGTCTTTCTGTACGTGGTCTGTACAATACCAATAATCACCTTCGATGCCCATTCAGCCAACCGATTACCGGTGTAGATTCTCCTGGATTCCTGGATATCTTTCGGGCATATCGCCATAGCGTCAGCATGTCGCATTGGCAGCGGATGAGTAGTTTGTGTGTACAATATATTGTACACGGCAGAACACGGACCATACGAGATACTAAACTAGATCAGGAATCAGGACTGCGGGACTTATACAGCAGTGCCTGGTCAAACAGCAGCGTCGCTGCTCCAGAGTCAAGCGGACCCGCCGTCGACGACACAGACATTCTCACCGTCCGAGCTCGCGATCGACGGCGCACCTCCCGTCGACGAGTTCCTCATTTGATGCCGCTTCCCCTCCGCCTCCGACCAGTCCTCACCGCCCACCACGCCGTTCGACGCCAAGCGGCGCATATATCCAGGTTCGAATATGCGTCGCTCCTTGACAGCACGAAATAGGAGTAGATCCGAGCGGAAAAGCAGCAGCAAGAGGACGTTCGCGAAGCCACCAAGGCAGAAGATGGGATCAATGGCGAACGTCAACGCGGAGGACTCGATGCCCGTCCGGAACGTGATCCAGCGAACGACTGAGAGCGGAAGAGTGACAATCGAATAGGTGACGGGGTACCTAGAGCATAGCGCATCAGCTGCTCATCACTTCGTCCTTGTAACCGGACTGGATGAAGACGAGACTCACGCGAGGATGCCCAGGTGGACGTCCTTCATCCCGCCGTTCCGTCGAAGGTGCACCCGGGGCTTCCACGGGCTCTCGTCGCGTAAAGTGATGTACCCCCTGACAAGCAGCCACAGTGGGATATGGAGCGTCATCAGAAGGAACAGCGTGAGCCAGATCCAGAGGTATTCCCCTACGAGCTTGTCAGGGAGGTAGTGCCGGCCGCTACCTGCGATCCAGCACCAGTACGGGTCCGGCGCCTCGTAAAGCTTGGCGTGGAGCGCACCCCCGAGGGAGTAGGCCAGGACAAAGACCCATATGAGGCCGATGACGATTGGTGCGATCCACGAAGCGGGTCTGGCGCGCATGTCCATCCGAAACCAGACGACGAGGAAGGTGTGGATCGAGATTGCCTGTAACGCCGAGTCGGATTGACGTTTGATACTTTGGCAAACCTCAAAGACGTACACTAGTAGTCATCGCAACGCCGGTCTCGCCGATTTGTTGAATGATTCCTGTCTCGCCAAACCAATTTCAATGCAAGAGAACAGGGATGGTCATGTTGAACCTGCCTTGCGCTGTACAGTATGACCCAGGCCGAGTGATGCCGTCATGGATCCATCTCACGTCTAGCATCACGCCAAGGCCCTGAATGATATCTAGTACCAACAACGAGAGCTGCACGAGGGGTGTCAGATTCCAGTGGTCACAACCATTTTTGAGCGTATAAAGATACCCGTACCATGTAGGCATCGATTGGCCATTGGATGTGACTGACCACTTGTCGCCACGATGACCCTGGCCGCAGCACGAAAGCGTTGCGCTGCGGACCCAACATCAGCGACCCCAGGAACTGCAGGCTTGCCACCATGAAGGCGTACAATAATCAACCCAAAAACAACCAGTACCGATGCGGCTGAAATGAAACCAGCCGCGGATTGAAGCTTGACGATCGGGCGTATTAGACAAAGGACGTAGACAAGACGGAGCCTGGTGCACATATCGTCATCCCGATGCTCTGTCCTCGCGTCAAGCAGCTGATCTGCGTCGCATTGGTGTAGTAATCGCGCAGCCATTCATCTTCGGAGCACACAATCCCAAGTTCGTGCAACTTCTTCGGTATGGTGATGTTCGGGCCAAGGTTGTCCGGGTACAGGGCGAACGATTTCCAGTTCGGCGCCATAACTACTGGTGCGGCCTCAGAGGGCGGCGCGCAGGAAGGCTGCAGCCCGAGGGGAAGACGAATTGCTGCCAGGGAAACATTTGATCTCTACATGATATAGACAGGCGCTTCAAGCAGAAATCATCGAAGCCAACCACTGCAATGTGAAACTCGAACAGCTCTTGACAGAACATGAGCCATCAAACCTCAGATGTGCGTCGGATATGGACGTACCGCCGCAATACCTCCCTGGCCCTGGGACCTGTGCGCGTATCAATACCAATCCGCACAATGGTGTGCCAACTTCGCGCGTTGCGTTATCTTGCAAGCTGCTTCGCTTCGCTCAACTGGCGGTCCCTGGATGCAGAAGCGGCACGAATGGTATACAGCTGATTCGGAAAATCATGAGCTGCGCCACTTTTTTGCGCGTTGCGTCGTGTACGAACCCTACGTTGGGGTTGTCTGTGTCAAGAGCGCAGACACGCCAGCGATACACGTTGATACGCTCCCCATGGGCTTCCGAACGATTAGTGACGACGTCAAACTACGTGCTTTGCATCTGATTGACAGGGGACTCGAACGCGAAGCGATATGTAGCATTCTTGGCGTGTCTCTTGCTAGCTTGACACGATGGAAACACAATTTTGAGGAACATGACTCCCTTGCTCGACCTCCCCGGTCCATTCGTGGCCGACCCTCTCGGACGACGGGCGAGCAGCGGTCCGACATCCTGAATCTACTTATAGAGGCTCCAGACCTCTATCTTGACGAAGTCCAGCAGTGGCTTGCTATTGCCCACGAATTGGCTCTCTCGAATACCGCGATTCATGACCTCATCAACGACTCT